AGGAGGAGGAGGAGGAGGAGGAGATTGGATTTATACCCCTCCCTTCACTTGGAGTCTCAGAGCGGCTTACAAACTCCCTCCCCTCCCCCTCCCCACAACAGACACCCTGCTTTTTTCAAGGACAGCTCTGACAGAACTATGGCTTGCCCAAGGTCACACCAGCAGCTGCAGCCTGCAAGTGGAGGAGTGGGGAATCAAACCCTGTTCTCCCAGATTAGAGTCCGCGCACTTAACCACTACACCAAACTGGCTTTCTCTAGTTCGGCCCCGAGCCATCCTTCTCCGCAGCCACCGTGTGGGAAACCACCCCCTCCAGTGAAGGCACCCTTTCTCAGTCCCACAGCCTCAGGCCAAGCCCTATGCATGCTTCCACAGCTCTACCTCTTTCTGCTTTTATTTTGTCCAGGAGCTCGTTTTTGTCCGCTAGATCCGACTTCAGAGCGGCCTCGAGCTGAGCAATCTGCAGTTTCAGCTGATGCTCCTTCAACTTCCACTGCTGGTCGTTGGTCACGCCAAAGGCACTGAAGAATGGAAACACAGATAGAGAGCTAAGAGGGCTTTTATTTATTTATTTATTTTTTAAAAAAGAGAACATATGGGATGCAAGAAATCGACTTCATCGGAAAATAATAAAAAAGGGAGGGGGGAGAGAGGGGAAGAGCTTTTAGTGGCAGAGATCACTGTCATCATGTCTTAGGAATTAAGCAAACATGTGCTGGTCGGCTGCTGTTGAAACCCAGGCGCCTCTCTGAGGCTGCGGTTGTGGAACATGAAAGGCTTTGTGGGATGAGCAGAGGGGGCTGGCCTCAATTTAGAGCCGCGCAGCCCAAAAAAGTTGGCAGCCCCGGAACGTTTGTGGGGGCTCGCAAAAAGGAATTCAGATGTCTGCTCGGGCGGAGTCAGCCGCTCCGAGGCTCGCTGACAAAACCCATTTGGCATAGATGCCCGTCTTTTGTGTGAGGAGCTGTGACTACCCACCTGATCCGTTTTAGACAATTGGGGGAGGGGGGGCGGGGGGGGGGGGGGGGGGCTGCTGCCTGGCCGCAGAAACCTTGGCTGCAAGAGGAATGATTGCTCTCTGCATCATAAAAAACGAGCTACTTTGATATGGATTAGCAGCCTTTGTGCTCTTTAAACCTGCTTTTATAAGCCCTGAACCCAAATTGAACGCTGTTAACAAGAACAAACATGGCAGCTGGATTTCTCGGAGACGGCTCAGAAAACCAGAGTCGATGCAGATGGGCCCAAGCTCAAAAGAAGAAGAAGAGATTGGATTTATACCCCGCCCTTCACTACCCAAAGGTGTCTCAGAGCGGCTTACAAACTCCTTTCCCTTCCCCTCCCCACAACAGACACCCTGTGAGGTGGGTGGGGCTGAGAGAACTCTGACAGAAACTGCTCTTTCTCAAGGACAGCTGTGCCAGAACTTGTGACTGACCCAAGGCCACATCAGCAGGTGCAAGCGGAGGAGTGGAGAATCAAACCCGGTTCTCCCAGATTAGAGTCTGCGCACTTAACCA